AATGTATATGTGAGACACTTCAGCTACAGTTTACCCAATGGCCACTTACTGAACCACCAAATAACCCTTCCAACTTCCTACTCACACAGTGTCACCCCACTCATCCAAAAAAAAACATCAGACACCATTATAAAGACAGTACACTACTGATACCAAGAATTTCCATGCATTTATACCTGAAATTACAGCAATTTTCTCTGTAGAACCGGAGTTTTCACCTGCAAGATGTAAGTAGATGTCAGCATGTCATAAGCACCCTGCTATTCACACACTGATAAACAGTATGAGGTGTCCCAGCAGATGAGAAGGGGATCACAGTAGAGAACAGGCATATAATCACTGGAATAGGTGGTGCTTACCTGACTTCTACTTGGAAATACCTGAAGAGATGGGAATTAGCTCATTTACATACTTGAAAAGTCACAAAAGTGTTTTGGGGCTGTTGAGGAAACTACTAAAAAATGAAGAGGCTCCTGGAAGAGGTCCCTTACCCACTTCAATCTTTATCTCTGAATTTCTAAGGAGACACTCACTGGAATTTTTATCTGTCCTTTCAGCAAATTGATTAGGAAAGAACAGAGGAGGGGAAGGGAGGTAAGTTGCCCCTTGGCCATCTTTACAAGTTACTGAACTGGGTAGAAATCCAGTAAAGCAGAAGAGTCAGGCAGGGAAGAAGTCCTTGGAAGAACCCTTTATCCACCTGATGTTGCAATGAGAATGATGGAGCTGGGGCACTCTTGAGCCTGTTCCTCTCTGCAGGTATGACTACACTGCAATCAGGAATGTGATTGCAGCACATACTGGCATCCTTCAGCTACTTCAGATTTAGAGAGCAATGCTTTAGCCTGTGCAACCTCTCTTTGGAGCCCCTGTGGAAAGCCAGCATTATGCCCCCATTTTTGCTGCCATCTGGCTGAATACCTGGACACCACTGTCAGAAGGCAGGGAAGAAATTCTGGATGGAGCCCATATATTCATAGTATACATTGAAATTATTTAAAAACCCTTATAATCATGCTCATTTGGCCCTCCAGGACTGGTCATTCTGGCCTGCCATATATATATACATGGACACTGGCTCATTTTGAAAATAGCTCACAGCTCCCAATCACCCTCATATTCAGGATGAACATGTCTTCATGTGGATTTACCTAACAGCTCTGAGTGAAATCTCTATTCCTTTCTAGTAAATGTGATCAAACTCCATCCTGATTTTTCATGTTCCTTTACATTCAAAATCAACTTTTCCTCAAGGTTTACTTTTTTTTTTTTCCACAAGACACAGGCATGACATAATCAAGAAATCTAAACTCTAGGTGCCTGACAGAAGATTTTCTCTGAAATACAGGACTACTTTATAGCAATCAATAAAGCACTAGAGTAAACCCATGCCTTCAGTAGAAATTCCTCCGGCTAAAATTGAGCTTAACGGCAGCTAAGGTGCCATCACTAGAGGACTTAACACATCAGAGAAGAAACTGTTCTGTTATCATTGCACCAATTTCTTTTGTCTCTGGTTGCCTTTGAAAACTCCAATCTGGTTAAGTATTCCCTGTCCACTGTCTGTTTCCATCTCCTTACTCAGGAAAAGACAACATATAGTTTTGAAATCTTACAGAACAGACGTATCTGCAAAATGTGCCTGTTGAGTACATGTAACTCTTCCCAACAAAGTGAGCTGATGCCATCAAATGGGAATAAGCCTTGGAGGGGAGGATCCCAAACATAGAAGACTTCTCCAATTCATTCTGTTGGGTTATGTAGAAGAATACTGGAATCGTAAGGAAGTCTCCGGAAACAGCATGAATCAAATGCTGTTGGTTCGAACTCAGTGGAAGAGAAATTTCAGTCCCTTGAATGGTTTCATAATGCATCAGGGCACATCACAGGCGAAGGAAACAGTCTAGCAGAATTGCATTAATTTTCATGAACCCAGCAGCCCTGGAAAATCATGAAAACTGCAACATAATGAAAGCCTGGAAGGGAAAAACCTGCCCTCTTCTTCACTGCTGGAGAATCTGAATGCGGATTCCATCAAAGGAGAGAGTCTGAGAATCCACAGCAGGAAAAAAAAATTAACCCTTTGGCTCATGGGACTGCAGGGTTGAGGAGTCACCATTCTCCCAGTTACTCATCTGCCAAAAGAGATAAACTCCTGTATGAGGGCTGCCCATCTCTATGCAATTAGACCTTAGCAGTCTGCATGACACAATGAACTGCTGCCAGCAGGAATTAAAGAAGACATTTTCTTCTGTCTTCACAGTATTTATCTCCTGCCCTCATTTCTCAGGCCCTGTCTCACTGATTTTAGTAAAAATGGGATGCATATATTAGATTGATAATGTCCTAAATGGATGAATGATGCTCCTAACAAAACAAAAAAAAAATACAGTTTCTTGCTCTTGTGTGAAGTGAAAAAAATCAACCCCAAGTGCAAGCTCTTTCCAGACTGTGTAAATTAGCTTATCCTTTCAGATATTCCCATCTCCTGCATTTTACTCAAAAGCTGGACCTCTGAACACAAAAAGCATGAATTGTCTACATATTACTACTGTTGTTACAGAGCAGAAGAATAACTTAATTCTGAAAACTATTGTAAGCAGTTCATGCCTACTTCATGCTACTGCATTGTGATGAAGTCACACCACTGAATATAAACACAGGTTATGTTCTGTGGGGCCACAAAGGTACCTTGGTTTCATTCCTACCTTTGCTGGTTGTGAAGCAGACAACAACTAGCGAACAGCGGTTGCTCTTTCAGGAGCTTTGCTGACATCATCTCAGGAAACAAACAAAGCTCTTTTAGCAGGATAAAAAGCACAACATGCATTGAGGTTGTTGTTGTTAAACAAAAATAACCAAGCTAATTTCAGCTCCATTTAAAAGCATGGGAAATAATCATTGCTCAGTGAATGGGAAAAGGACAAAATCAGTACAGAGAGAAATCATTTGCAGGGTCGTGAGAGACTTCTACAAGCCATGAGTACTGAAACTATTTTTAATATTACTCAACAGTGCCATTTAAATATCTATTGTCCCCTAGTATAAGGTTTTGGGAACCTTTCCATTTTAAGAATTTATATATATGTGTATTTTTTCCATTTTCTCACCTTCATCTCTTATACAATAAACATTTATAATTAAACAAAATTATAATTTAGAAAGCCTTGTTTGCCGAAGAGACTTACTCTCCTCAGTAAATTTAGCCCCCTTGGAAGCACACTGAGAACAGCTGATCAACACTGCACTGGATGCTGTACAATTAGAGAGGAAGAAACATCACTGACTTAACTGTCATAGTAAAAATTTTGCAGACGTGCAAGCCAAACACAGATAAATTAACAGACTTGCTCCAGTTTGCCTGAAGTGCCAATCAGAGAAAAAGGATTGAAGCCACAGTTGCTGAGCCACTGTCCCATGCCTTAACCACAAAATCATTGTTTTTGAGATTTAGATCTTAATCACACTGGAACAAGCCCAGGATTACTTTATTGTCTCAGTGCAGGATCCCTAGAGATACCACTGTAACCCTAAAGATCATTTTGCTCAGAATGATCAGCATCCCGCTGACCACAGCCTACCTCATTCATTTTCCTCCCAGTGATGACATTTCCCATCTGCTGGCCTCCAGAACAGCTTTCTCAGGAGCAGAGTGCTGGGATTTCTCACTGCCCCTGCATTTCAAACAGGAACTCTTCTCACAAACAGGTGCTGGCCCTGAGATCCAGGTGCATGGCAGGTCCTCTCTTGACCTCTTACCTGCCCCACAAATCCAGAGTTAGACCAGACAGAGCATGACTTTGGCCACCTGGGCTACAGGAACACCTTTGGCAGGGCAGGTTCACAGAGCAGCTGGCATGTCTGCAGGTGAACCTCAGCAGACACTCCAGTGGGATCACTGTCACATTTCCACAGGAGCAGCACCTACCCCTCAGGAGTATGGATGGGCTGTCTTTTCTTTGTTCAGGCAGATTACCATCTTTCCACTTTAAAGGCCCTGAACAACTCTTCTCAGCTGGAGCCCTACTCCCTTTCACACACCTGAGGATATGGGGCTGCCCTTCCAAAGACCACACCTGGATAATGCTCCCTGTCCTTCCAAAGCCCACCCTGGCTGTGCTACCTGCCCTTCTCTGGCCCTTCTTCCTCACAGCACTGCAAAATTCAGACAAGTCTGACCAGCTCCCTTTCTATCACAGGTACCTCCACACCCTCCATCTTCCCTTCAGATGGTTCCTGGGCAGCTGCTCTTTACAGGACTGAAACCTGCTCGCCTCAGAGCTCCTACTCTGAGAAACCACTGTACTTGCAGCCTTGGGGCTCTCCCCCTTCAAGGGCCTTTCCCCTCATGCTCTTGGAACTGACCCCCTTTAGGGGGCTGTTCCCTTCAGGGTGCTGTTTGGCGCTCATGGTGCCAAAACTCACCATCTCTCAGGGGAGGGACATTCGCTGAGGGCTGCCCCCCTCATGGTGCTGGCACCCTCTCACCACCTCTGAGGGGCTGCTCCCCTCATGGTGCTGGGACTCTCCCGCCATCTCTGAGGGGCTCTGCCCCCATCATGGTGCCAGGACCTTCTCACTATCTCTGAGGGGCTGCTCCCCTCACAGTGCCAGGACCCTCTCACCATCTCTGAGGGGCTGCTCCCCTCACGGTGCCGGGACCCTCTTACCACTCTCTGAGGGGCTGCTCCCCTCACAGTGCCAGGACCCTCTCACCATCTCTGAGGGGCTGCTCCCCTCACGGTGCCAGGACCCTCTCACACTCTCTGAGGGGCTGCTCCCCTCACGGTGCCGGGACCCTCTCACCATCTCTGAGGGGCTGCTCCCCTCACGGTGCCGGGACCCTCTTGCCACCTCTGAGGGGCTGTTCCCCTCACGGTGCTGTGCTCCCCTCCTGCGACGGCCATTCCCGCAGGGTTGCTGGGGAGGAAGAGCAGCCCTGGGGAGAGATGAGATGTGAGGCCCGAGCACTGAATGCTCAGGGAAAATGACCATGCGTTTGTGTAATCTGATGCAAATGGATGTATATTTATGCAAATGTGTGTTAAGTAGATTCTACTGATGGTCTGCCTTCAAATATTGGTAAGTGTGTGCTTATACCTATAAAACACACTTAGAACTCCCCTGAAAGCTGCAGTGACCCCATCGATGTGTTAATATACACATGGAAAAGGCACTGTCTTTATCTAAGACCAAAAAGTAAAGTACCTGCAATTGTTTAAAGCTTTAATGAGGCTGCTGGGTGTATTTGATCAAGTTTTCTGGCCAAATTCCAGTGAGTATAATTATATCTCTACCTACCCCAGCTTTCCCACCTGGTAAAATGTTTTTCTGTTTTCTTCTGGTACGAGGTGCTAAATATCTACTATTACCCCAGACACTAATACATGGGTTAGCTGTTCCCCATGTCAGGAATGTGCCAGTGCTAAAGCTGAGAATGTTTCAGGGAGCATGTGCTTCCCATCTCTGTGACTCAAAGGGAAATGGAAGGGTCAATTAGCTGCTGGCAATTTTAATTTGTGTGATGAGTATTCTGCTTCAACATTGCCTTGTCAAGGTGTCCAAAGTTCTTTCTAATTTGCAGAGGAGTTTATGTTCTAAGCCTAGAAATGTTTGTGAAATTGATTTGTAGCTCAATATGTATATAATAACACCTGCATATATGAATGTATGGAAAGTGACTCTGTAACCACATAATCAATGGATGTGGTTAAGTTCCTGAATAAAGCTTGAGACAGAATTAAAGTGGTAAGGAAAAGCTCTGAAATTATTGTTTTGTTAAATATATGCCTTGAAACATACTGTGAAACTGATTCAGCTATCCCTTCAGCCTTGGGATGGGTAGGGATAGACTGGGATATTCAGAAAGTATCAGGAATCATATTTATATGGCAGAAGACTACAAAAGTTGTGTTAAAGATGGCATGACCATGGCACAGCCACTTAGAAACAGAAGAGAACCTCTGTGTTGTCTCATAAATTGAAGTTGAAATAAATTGTAAACAATACTGAGTTGAGGGATTTGATCTGATTCAGAGTTGCAGAGCAAATATTAAATAGCCTAGAATGTGGATGTATGCCATGTTTTATATTCATAAGAGTGTGTTTCTATGTGCATTAATTTAGTCACATAATGAGTGACTAAAATCTTCCTTTTCCCCAAAAGCACTTTTAAAAATTGCTACTAAATTTTCAGATATTCCTATGTGCTCTCTAAAGGAAATAAAAATGCAATTAGAGGGAATGCTAATTTCCTCAGGACTAGAACACACAGGAGGATGGATCATTGCTCTGTGTCTGCTCCCAGTCTGCTTGGTGGGTCTGGGCAAATTGGCTCTCCATGCTTGTTTACCTTTAAAATGGAGATAATGTCTCTAGCCTTTGGAAGGCATTTTAAGACTTAATGGTGAAAAATATTGTAGAAGCGTTAGATACTATTAAGGGTGTTCACAATTTTCATTTAGAATTTAAAAAGATAAGAGTTCAGACATTAGAAATTAGGACTGTACTGATAACTTCAGATCCTGTGTCAAGCACTGTTTTTATTTTCTAGAAAGACTTACAGAGTAAACCATTCTGCAGTGTGTGAATTGCAGTTTTGTTTTCCAAAAAAAGAAAAAGGTAAATTGTTCTTTGTTTCTGGGAATTTCTTTGCTGTTTTAAGGAGATATGCTTTGGGTTATTTTCCTCAGGGAACAATTTAAATTACTTTTTTGTTCATTACAGATTTCATCTGCATATTTTCATTCTGTAAGACATTCTTATAATTCAGAGATTTTTGCAATCAGCATCTTATTTAGTATGTTTTAAAATCACTTTTTTTCCCCAGCTTTTGATCTTTAAGACCCTGAGAACACGTTTAAAGGAGCCAGGATCCAGCTATTCCATTGGAACAGTTCTCTACTGTGTAATGGAAATGGAGAAACCCAGACAATGGTGTGGATTGCCCCAGGAGAAAGAGGGCTGATTTTTCCTGCCTTCATTAGGTAAGTGGAAATCTCTGATTAGATCTATAGCACTTTCTTGGCAACTGAGTCAGGATTTGGTGTAAGTTATTTAATGAGCAGTCATAGGAATTGACTTCTACAATTTTCACACAGAATCACAAAATTATTTAGGTTAGGAAAGACCTCCAAGGTCATCAAGTATGACCAATCACCTCATGACAACTAGACCATGTCACTAAGTGCCACATCCAGTTGTTTCTTGAACACCTCCAGGGATGGTGGCTCCATCCTCAGGCAGCCCCTTCCAATTCCTGACAACCCTTTCTGTGAAGAAATTCTTCCTGATGTCCAACCTGAACCTCACGTGGCAATAGCTTGAGGCCATGGTCTCTGCTCCTGTTGCTTGTTACTAGGGAGAGGAGGCCAGCTTCCACCTGGCTACAACCTCCTTTGAGGGAGTTGTAGAGAGCAAAAAGGCCCCTCCCAAGCCTCCTTTTTTGCAGACTAAACACCCCCAGCTCTCTCAGCTGCTCCTCATAGGACTTACTCTCTAAACTCTTCCCCAGTTCCTTTGCCCTTCTCTGGGCAGGTTCCAGCACCTCGATGTCTTTCTCGCAGTGAGGGGCCCAGAACTGAACACAGGATTCAAGGTATGGCCTCACCAGTACCAAGTACAGAGGGTTTATCACTTCCCTGCACCTGCTGGCAGCACTGTTTCTGATACACTCCTGGATGTCACTGGCTTTCTTGGCCACCTGGGCACACCTGGGCTCATGTTCAACTGCTGCCAACCAGCACTCCCAGTTTTTATTCCACTAGGCCACCTTCCAGGCATTCTGCCCCCAGTGGTAGTGCTGCAGGGACTTCTTATCTCCAAACTGCATTTTATTATGTCTGGAAATATTTAATGTTTTTCTTAAATTGGTATAATCTGGAGTAATTTGAACCTCAGCCTGAATGTTTTAAGAGAGTGTATTTCTAAACTTGATGATAGCAAAGTAAGAAGCTTGCAGACGTTTTCAGCATGTGCCATTATACCTTGGAAGTCAGATGAGGCTATAAAGGAGCTGTGGTATGTGCACACATATCTAAGGTTTTTACAACAAATGGAGTTGGTCTCCTAGAATAGAAAAGTAAACTCTGCATTGGTGCTGAGTGGTGTAGTTGTAGTTCTCTCTGTAGTTCTCTCCCTTTGTGTGGAAAAGTCAGCAGGATCTGCAGCATTCCCTGGCATCTGCATGTATACTGTGGACTCCTCAGATTCCTGCTCAGGGATTCTCACGCAAAGGCTGACAGGCAACTTGAATGCTGCAAAGATAATTTTGCTGTTTCTTTGCTGGACTAATTTTCGCAGTGACAAAAATACTCTTGCAAAAGTCACATTCTTTTCTGAGATTTGTCTTGGATTACTGCAATGATATGGAACATATTAAAAGGATTTGCCTCTTGTTGTGATTGGCCTCCATCCTGGCCAACACAGCAGTGTTTGAGCTTGGTTCCCTAGAATTAACAACTGTGAGCTGCTGTGGTGTGAGCTTCGGGTTCTAGCAAACCCATCTTCTCTGGCAGGGCACAAAGGGGTTTGGTAACAAATGCTCACCTGAGGTAATGCCACGACACTTTGTTTCCTCCTTCCCCAGCAGGTTTGTTCCTTCGACATTCTCAGGTATTTATTCATGGAATGATGTTGTTCTGGGGTGTCATCTGTGACAGCTGGGCTTGCTGGAATAGGGGAATAGTTAATTTCAGAGGTTTTCCATTTCTAGAGTTAAGGACATACATGAGGTGAACCTGTCAATCAGTAGAAGAAGAAAACACCACTGCAATAGTGGGGATTCAGTTCCTTGGCCCATTCTGTTGCATTACCTTGGGCAAATCACTACATCTCCATCTCTAGCCTAACATACCAGAACACTTGCCATAGGCCCCAAAGAAAAGCAATCATCTCCTTAAATCTTCTAAGCTGTCTCCCTTCTGAAGGCATATCCCTTGTGGGCTAAAATTAGGAAGTGATCATTATGGATCATAAATCCATTGGCCTTGGCTGTGCATCTAACTTGTATCCAAAGGCGGATGCTGAGGGCTCAGTTTCATGGTACACAGGGCTGTGGGTTCTCTGCACTTTGCAGCTGCAAGAAGTGCACGCTGATTCTCTGGGTCATATTTTTCCTTGTCCTAGTACAGTTTGCTCTTTAATCTCCCAGCCTCATTTTGTCTGTTTGTAAAATCCAATGTGTACCTATTTGTCTGTGGAATGCACTGGATAGACCTAGATAGAGAAGCTAGTAATGTTCTCTGTTTTACTCACCTCCAGGGGCCTAGAAGAGTTAATGTCTGCATAATGCCTTAGCAAATGTAAAAGTGCTTAGCTTCATTATATATTGATTTATGTGCAAGAAAACTACAAAAAATAATAAAACATGCAAGTTACTTCAAATTGACTGTGGGCAGAGGAAAGATCTTAAATCTAATCTTAAAACATAGTGCAAGTCATGTGAATGAATAGAGTTAGGTGGGTTTCCCACCCCATCCAGCACAAATGGGAAGGGGTCCTATATTTGGAAGTAGCACAGGGCCCAGAGGGGGCTGTGTCTAGATGAGAATTCCCATGTGGAGACAGAGACACGAATTAAATTAGAACGGATATTAGAGCTCTGGGCCAGATTCATACCCTCACTGCAGCAAAGTAAACCAGAGGAACACTAGCAAATCACGGATGTAACGCCAGCATGAGCGAGAGGAGAATCAATCCACAGGTAATAAGGGCATCATCAGTGCCTGCCTAGGGTTTCATCCTGTGCTTTGTCCTAATTATGAGCAGTTTAATGGCATGCTAAAATACAAAACAGATTTATGAGCCATTGCCATCTCCCTCTGCATTGTTATACAGCTGACTCAACAGTACTTTTACTCCTTGGCTAGAAGGTCAGCTTAGGTTTTAGTAAGCTAGGGCCGGGGCTTGGACTCAGAGGCTCATTGCCTCCCTGAATGCTGCTGCTAGAATAAATGCTAAACTGAAGCTCCCATCTGCTCTCTCCATGTCTTGTCCAGATGGATATTTAAGATCCCACAGCACACCTTGAATAGTGTATAATAGTCTATATATCTAGCCAGAATTCTTCCTTCATTAAAATAGACTCAGACCAGCTTGTATTTGAAGTCAGCAGAATTACTTCTATTTTTTTCTTGCAAAATCAGTATCTTTTCAGACTGGAAATACTGAACCTAAAATGGGAAAGAAGTAATGTGTAAAATGAAGGAGGCAACGTAGATCATTGAAGAAAATAAGGCCAAAGACTGTGGTGAGATTACTGTGGGCTATTGCTTGAAGCTTATTCATTAAATGCAGTGTACCTGTATCACTGCACTGCCTTTTGGGGAAAGAAAGTGAAATGATGCACAAAGCAGATGATGAGCCACAAGATTTCCTAGATTCCCTCCTCATTGTTGTCCCTAATAGACTGTAGGCAAGTTCTTTCATCTCCCTGTGTCTCAGTTTCATGACCTGTAAATAGCAACAGTAATAATTTGCTGGTTTTCAGCCTGGCTATGAAACTTGACCTGCCACAGTTAACAAAGTGTTTTGACATTCTTGTAGAAAGAGGAATGGGTCCAGCTGCATCTTCACTCAGAGCTGCCAATTGCCACAAAGTAGAAGGATGTCTCAAGAGAAAGATCACATAACACTATTCTTGTTTCTTATATATCTCCTCACCTCCACCTCAAGAATGCAATTTTGGTTTAGACTGTTATTTTTATGCCTAGCAAAAAAAAAAATCACAATCACTTTCTAGTGAAACTTTATGGTTCAAGTTTCTTCATCAATGTGTGCAGCTTTTTCCTCAGTAGATACTTGACTTTCAGATGAATGCTGCAGATTTGTTTTGCTCTCTGTTTTCATTGCTGCAGCTTTTCTCAGAGCAAAATCCTCACTCGCCTTAAGCAGGAATTTTCTTGAAGAGTTAAGTCAAGACCCTGGCACTAACCCATCTGAGAGAAGCTTGCTCACACTCCTCTGAGAAGAGAGGCCATGCCACTGGTTACTGCATTAGCAGTAATTTGTGCCTTGGATCAGTAAGTTCTTCAGTGAATTTCTCAGCTTCTACCAGAGAGGATGCTGGTTGAACAGGATTGACAGATTATCTTTTGCCCCTTACATTACCCATATATTGTCATGGAGATACATCAGAGTGGTGACAGTGAAAAAGCCCAAGTTGGTGATAAGATTTTCTCAGCTCTTCCGCATGCTGGGATCCAGGCATGAAGTCAGGGGGCAGGTAGAAGTACCTCTTTCTTTTCATGGGGCATCAAGTGTGCACAATAGTGTTTGATACCTCCAACAGACTTATATCCACATCTATCCCAAAGCCTTTTCTTCTGGGCTCAAGGCTGTTCAACATATGCTGTTATTTTAGGGACAATGCGGGAAAGGTAGATGTGGCCATGACATCCACAGCCCCCTGGATCCAACATCTGAAGTCTCTGGTATCTGCTGGCCCCTGATCTGGCTGATAGACTGTAGCAAGCCTGCTTCTCTTGGCATCTGCACCTCCCTGCTCAGTGCCAAAGCTGCAGTTCTGTAAACAGATCTCATCCTGGCATATATTATATTGCCACACAGGCGACACTGTTCTAACTGATTAATAACAAGCAGCTTGATAGGATTTGGGGAGACACTGGAGTAATTAGTAAGATAAGGGCAGGTTTCTTTGTGCTGCACTTTCACGGATGACAGAAGCTTTCCCCCTGAAGAGTTTCACTGATAAATCTGTATATAATAATAATATTAATAATAAAAGCTTTTTGCTAAAATGCAAGTTAAATATTCCTTTAGGGAATAAGAGGAAAGGAAATGTTCATGTCCTGGTACTGATTGGAGGCCAGGAGAATGGAAGAAGAGAGGAAGTTGCTAGGAAATAGTCTGCTTTTCCTTCTCTGCTGACAGCAAGGTTTGGGATTTCATGTGCAAACAGGTAGCATGGTTCATCTTGGCTGGACAGGCCATTGAGTTCTTGGAGCCTGGGCTGTCTGTGCATCAC